GCTGAACGTTGTAGTTGGCGGAGCAGCGGCGCTGATCAAATGCTTCAGTACGCGCAGACGGGGGAAGTGAGCCGGCGCCCTCGTGAAGCTCAGGCAGCGTGGATTTCGAACGCCGTTGCCTAGCATCCATCTGGCGAATCTCCGCTCTCTACCCAACAAAACGGACAAACTTCTTCTACTCTCCAGGACAAACAAGGATTTTTTAAACTCTGCTGCTCTGTGTTTCACGGAAACCTGGCTGAATGACGCCATTCCGGACAGCGCGCCACATCTGCCTGGCTTTCAGCTGTTTAGAGCAGACCGCGATGCAGAATCAACGGCGAAATCGCGTGGCGGAGGGACATGTTTTTACATCAACGAAAGGTGGTGTACAGATGTTACAGCGTTAAAGAAGATGTGTTGTCCCGATCTAGAAGTGCTCTTCGTTAACTGCAAGCCGTTCTATTCGCCGCCGGAGTTTTGCTCCTTCATTCTCGTGAGTGTTTACATACCTCCGCAAGCGCACGTGAGCTCAGCTTTACAGAAACTCGCTGATCAGATCACAGACACAGAACAACAACAACCAGACTCTGTTATAATCATTCTTGGGGACTTTAATAAAGCAAATCTTTCCCGTGAACTGCCAAAATACAGACAGCATGTTACATGTCCCACCAGAGACGGTAATATATTGGATCACTGTTACACCACAATAAAGGATGCATATCGCTCCGTCCCACGGGCAGCTTTGGGACTCTCTGATCACTGTTAAGTTCATCTTATACCGACCTACAGGCAGAATCTGAAATCATCTAAACCTGTATTAAGGACTGAAAAAAGATGGACTAATGAAGCAGAGCAGGATTTACAAGCTTGTTTTGACCTCACTGATTGGAGTGTTTTTGAAGCTGCTGCCACCGATCTGGACGAGCTCACAGAGACTGTAACATCTTATATCAGTTTCTGTGAAGACATGTGCATTCCTACCAGGACTCATTTAACCTACAACAATGACAAACCTCTAAAGACCCCTCTGTCAAGCTCCTGAAGTTTGCAGACGACACCACACTCATCGGTCTCATTCAGGACGGTGATGAGTCTGCTTACAGACAGGAGGTTAAAGAGCTGGCTGTCTGGTGCAGTCTTAACAACCTGGAGCTTAACACGCTCAAAACTGTGGAGATGATAGTGGACTTCAGGAGGAACCCCCCTGCTCTCCCCCCACTCACCATCATAAACGGCACTGTAACAACAGTGAAGACATTCAGGTTCCTGGGCACTACTATCTCTCAGGGCCTGAAGTGGGACAATCACATTGAGTCCATTGTGAAAAAGGCCCAGCAGAGGTTGTACTTCCTTCGCCAGCTGAGGAAGTTCAACCTGCCACAAGAGCTGCTGAAACAGTTCTACTCTGCCATCATTGAATCCGTCCAATGCACTTCTATAAATGTCTGGTTCAGCTCAGCTACCAAATCTGACCTCAGAAGACTACAGAGGATAGTCCGGACTGCCGAGCGAATCACTGGTACAACCCTCCCTTCTCTCCAAGAACTGTACTCATCCAGAGTGAGCAAAAGGGCTAGCAAAATCACTCTGGACCCCTCACATACAGCACACTCCCTCTTTGAACTGTTGCCATCTGGTCGACGCTGCAGAGCACCAGAACGACCAGACACAGGAACAGTTTCTTTCCTCAGGCAATCCATCTCATGAACACTTAACAATAATCGTGGAACACACAACACTAGTATACATTATTTAACACACATACGTATTTACATTTCAAATTTGCACATATCATACCTGTACATACAAAATTGTCTATATTATATATTGTGTTTTTGCTTTTTTGTACATTGTCTATTTTGTATATTTTTATATAATTCTTTTTGAATTATAAATCTGTGTCCTGTCTTGTCACTGTCATTCTGTTGCACTGTGGAGCTTCTGTCACTAAAACAAATGTGTGTAAACATACCTGGCAATAAAGCTCATTCTGATTCTGATATGTGTTCCCTATTCTGAAGTGTTACCAGTTTTTTTTTAATTCTTACAAATGATTTAAGCTTGATTACTTCGTATAGTTTCTTCTACAAGATTCAGTTTTTCATTTAATTAAAAAAAATAATAATTTTCATCTGATTTGCATCTGATGTTTCCACTTTTCTTACATACTTGTTCTTCATGTTATTTGTAAAACTTAGGAATGAAAACAACTTTTGACAAACAGGATGTAGGTGGAGGTGAAAAGGACAGTGCAGTTCAATAATGTGGTGCTTTACTCTCTCTCTCTCTCGATCTTAAAGAGGCTGTTGAGAGATGTAATGTCACATGATCGATGGTAAGAGAGTGAGAGTGAGAAACTTTCAGGGAGAGAGATGGAGAAAGATGGGGAGAGAAAAAGGGGAAGGGAACAGGACTGACGGATGAGGCGAGTGAGAAAGGAAAAGAAAGAGGGAGGAACCTCCAAAAAATAAACAGGGTGTCTTGTTTCAAAGGCGAGGGGGACACACAAGCATTCCATTGTTCAAGTCAATTATCAGAGGCAAATAATAACAGCAGATGGATCCAGCAAGGCCACAAAACGAGTGAGTGAGAAGTGGAGAGCTGCAGAACAGATGATGAAATGTGAGAGAGGAGGAGGAGGAGGAGGAGGGGTCAGAATACCCAGTCCTAAAGCCTCACACAACAGATGTGGACTTACAGGGACGGTGCACAAACACAAACTTTCACCACGACCTTGCCGCATAAGCACAAGATGATTTAAAGATAAAAAATATTCTATTTTATTATGTTTTTTATTGTGTTTTTTGCTATTTTTGTTTCACAGACAACAGCAGAGAGAGGCCAAGAATGGAATCGGGACATGATCAGAATTCAAACCTGCATTTCTCCCACACTGTAAGCACCAATAAACACTAACACCAATAAACAAAATGCCCCACAAACATCATCATGAGATGATGACTTCAAGCTATAATTGTCAAGTCCAAAAACAACAACAACACATTATTATTATTATTATTAATAATAATAAATTATATTAAATTAAATTAATACATTATAATATTTTATATATTTTAAATATTTATATTACATTACATTATGATTTGCACCAGACACTTCGATTCAAAACAAATAATAATAATAATAATAATTATTATTATTATTATTATTATTATTTATTAGTGTTTAAAAATACTATTATTATTATTATTATCATAAGACACATTTAGCTTCACACAAGAACAATATATTATATAAAATATAATAACAACTACATTAACAATTCATAATTAACAACAGTAATAACAATTTTATATTTTTAGTATTATAGTTATAAAAGTATTATTATTATTATGTAGGAACGCAATTGGGACTCCATTAGAAACAAGGCTAAATATAAACAGTATGTACTAACTAGTAGGCCACAGCTCCAGTTTGAAAGAATTCGAATTACACTAATTGTAATTTGCCTATTACACAAACGCTGTTCATGAGATTTGAGTTATTTTGTTCAATTGAAATTGCATTATTGTGTTGCATCAAAAAGTTGTTTCTGCTTTGAGCTACTGAGTAAAGGCTATGTGTTATGTTGAGAGCATTTCTGTGTTTTGTTTTTTGGGGTGTATTTTATTAGCAGCAGAGCTACAGGGAAGAGCATCTGAAGCGAGAGGAAGCGGCAACTCAATATGCTGAAGGATGCGTCATATCGCTGCTCAACTGACAGCCCAAGTGTGTGCGTACAGGGAGGGGGGGCCTTTTTCAGCCTAAAACAAAACGCATCCTCAATGTGCCCCTGTCAAGGGTGGGAGATGTCTTCAGATAGTGGCACAAAAGATCAACCGTTCCTTTTCAGCCGAGAGAAAAGAAAAAGTTTTCGTTTCATTAACTCAAGACTAAAGCATAATTATCTCCCTATGGGCCGCAATCACCAAAAGAAGGATAATAGAACTGAAAACACTTTCCACTCCACTCATCTAAGCGGCTCTTTTCTTCTCTCTCTTTTTTTTTCACTTGTTTTTTCTTCTCCGCCCTCAGATGAGATTAACCAATCAAATAATGGCAACAGATTGTGGGGGTAAGAGGAAAATACAACTTTCCGAATGGTGTCTGTTTGAGAGCTTTAAAGATTCGCCGTTATCTGGCTTAGCGTTCTTCTACTCCTTTCCTTTCGTCTGCCATCTCTTTTCCTCTTTATATCTTTCTCTCTCTCGCTGCCTTTGGAACGGGGTGGAGGAAAAACAGGGTGAGGGCGGTTAGCCGCTAAGTCGCCCTGGTTCTGACTAAAATGAGCAATTTCACAAATTTGAGATTTAGATAAAATGCAAACATTTTATAAGTATACTTTTATAAATATATTTAGAAGTATATCTTTTTCTCAATTACTAACAAGCTGCTACTTAAAGGTGCTTGCAGCACTAGCCCTAAGATAAGTCCCTCAAGGATTTGCAGCTAGAAACATAGAGCAGGCCCTGGATTTAACTAGCTTATGAAAATAATTGCCATTAGCACAACTTGGAAACGGTTTGGAGCACCACGCTATGACAGGAAGAGAAAAACCTCTCACTTCTGGAATGGAGAAGACAAAGAAATAGTGCGGAAAAAAAAGAAATTGGCAGGCCAAGCGACTGTTTTGTGCACTGACACAGAGGTCGAGTTAATTAGACTATTGTCATTTTAATCAGGACAGCTTCTCGGTCAGTCTTCCCTCAAAGAGCGAGCATGCGCACGTCGACGTCATGCTCAGGGCCTCTGCGTGCGTGCCGGTTCTATGGACTCGCTTCGCTAATGAGCAACGCCACAGAAACAAAGCCCCCGAAGGACCACCGGGGGAAACTCCTCACCCTTCTCTCTGCTCACTTCTCTGTTCATTTGAAAATAATTTAAATATAAAATATTTGAAATCATTTGCTTCTCCCTGGCTATCTGATATTGAATGGCAAGTCTTTCATGTTGCCTTTATTATGTTCATAAACCAACATTAAAATTCAGAACTATCATTACAAGTGACTATATTTATTACAGCAACTATCATTTCGGTCCGAGCCATGGATTGTTTTCAGATAAATATGAATATTAAATTATGCCAAGACATTGTTATGCAAAAATATCCACGAGAGCTGCCGCACCAAAAATGCATAAATCCGATCCAAACAGTCGTAAAAACTGGAAGTTGAATTTACATTGTACACTGACAATATACACATGGCTTAAAAATTAAGTTGATATTGGTCAAATTATTTTGAGGAGTTAAAGTAATGGAAAAACATATGTTGCATAGACTAACTGATCATATACATTTTTACAGTGTACAATAACTTATAATCCCACTGAATTCTGATTTGGTTATGGTGCACATAGTAAGTAAACAGTAAATGTGAACAACAAGGCAAAACCTTCAAATGGCTGAACATCCTATATCACACGTTGCCAAAAACAGCTAGATCTCAGAACAACTCAGACATTAACTTTGCATTGCTTTAGGCTGACTGCTTGCTTTGAATACTCTTCACCAGGACATTATCGGTTTTGTTTATCTCCACTAATCCACTATGTATCATATGGGTGACATGATGTCATCTAACGTTGATATGTAAAGAAAATTTAGTTGGCAACTCTCCTTGTTGCCATTATGTATAAATTAAGCTTCCAAATGATTTGTGCCTGCAGTCATGTCAAAAACATAAATCATATGATGGAAATAAAGGAGCCAATGTTACTAAATTTGTACATTTCAACATATACCTGTCAAAACTGTAAACAAATTGCAAAAGTCTAATTTGGTCACATCATACTACTCTCTAACTTAGTAACACCTAGTTGCTATAAACTCCTAAAACACACATTTATGAAATCATTACTCATCTCCCCTTGAGTTGCAGACTCCTTACTTCATTTAGGCCTTATTCTGTCCAACATATTGCACAATTTATTTAATTTGCATGTAGCTGGAAAAATAATTCTCTCATTTATTTCTTAAACTCGAGATGAAAAACAGACTAATGGCTTTATCTTAATTTGGAATTTTCTTGCCATTTATCATCTTATAGATAGTTCATAGTTTTATCACTCATCATAAATATTTCAGGCAGTGTTAATATTAATTTGATCAGATATTAATTTTACCCAAAATGCGAGTAAAAATCAATTATTCAACAAAAGCGATTATCTTTGGAGATGATGGGAGAGTTTTAAAGCAGCTTTAAATAATCAATCCAGATCCACGCCTTTCCTCGTTATTGGTTTATTAGGTTTACAAAACAAAAACAGCATGCTTAAGTCATAAATCATACAGTAACCACCATGGAAACTATTGTAAAACCAGTTAATATACACTAAGGTCACATGATCAGCACAATCAAATGTGATTTGTTGACTCGCTGTGACACACTGCACCTCTGTTGGGGATTATCATGGTTTACCTGAATAAATTAGACCCTAATTTGAATGGCACTCCAAATGGGTCTCCTCCCCACTGGACACTGTCTTTAGGGTAGATTCATCTTCTTCTACAGTCTGTAACAGGCTAAATCACTATGATTATTGCTCATCGTGTTGGTTGGGGATGTTCTAAACCCCTAAATCTACATACTGAACTTCAATGCATAACTCTGTTCTAACCTGACCGATGTGCTATGGCTATGTATGATACATACGCTCAAATCATGAGGCTACTGCATATCAAATTGATCAAACTTACAATTCCCCGATTGTAGACAATACAACTGATTTAAAAAAAGTCAATAATCAGCAACTGAGCAACCACCCAGAACACCTCAGCAACCATTTAACAATAGTGAGGGTTTTGCTCACAGGGACGCAAGTAACATTTTCTTCAGAAAGTTCATTTTTAAAACAGTTTCTTCAGAAAATGTTTTTTTTTTTTTTAATGTTTTTTGTTTTCAAGCGTGTAGCCCTGAAACCCTATTGTAATTGTTAAAATGGCCAAGGATCAGCAATCTCCACGTAAAACTGATCGGGCAGACCAAACCGTAAGTCGTAGTGACTTGAAACTTGGAGGGATAGTAGTACTCACACCGTCTACAACATCACCAAGGCACGGGGGCGCTACAGCAATCAAAAGTATAAAATCACTCATTACTCCTAAACTATTAGTTGCAGGCTCAGTGCCTTATATCGTTGGAACCCTTGGCTCACAACAGGCAAAACGCATGCCTCGGATTCAATTGTCACCCTGGTGAAATTTTTGGGAATTTTGAATTATTTTTTTAAAAACCTACTTTTGCGAATTAGTCCTAGGTTTTTCACTCGATCGGAACCAAACCAGTGCAGAAAGATTTTCTGGAGAGTAAGTATCAATAATTATCAAAAACATTTTGGACTTTTGACTCACCATCACAAAAGGATGCCAAAACGTTCGAAAGGGGCAGGGCCACATTTACTAAAACTGCTATGAGATATCTTTGCTAAACTCAGAACACTTATGTAAGAGCTCAATCTGAGGTCATATGAAAAAAAAATCGTGGAGCTTGGCCACTTGGTGGTGCTATAAGAGGGGGAAAAATATAAAAACGGCTATAACTACGCAACCATTTGCCCTATCGACATGAAAATTGGTATGCTGTGTCTTTGTCCAAAGTGCCACAAGTGTTTATAAGGACATTTATGTATATCCAAAAACATGCCCGCCATTGGCCAATGAAGTTTGAGCAACTATCAGACAAGATTACTGAAGGTTGATTGGAATTAAACTCAGTGCCTGTTTGACTCATGGCCCTAGAGATCAAGCTGAGAAATTTGAAAGCAATAAGACACTGGGGGGAGAATTTTATT